CAATAATTATATCAAGGTAATTAACATCCCTTATTTCACATATAGTACTTATTTTTTGATAGTGAGAATATCTAAAATGTATTTGTTTTAGTAATTTTGAAATGTGTAAGCCATTGTTATTAACTAAAGTTATTCTGCTGCCATGCAATAGATCTCAAAAACTTGTACCTCCCTTTTCCTGAAACTTTGTACTATTCGATCAATACCAGTAGCTCCTCACTCTCCTGTCCCTCCCCGCTCCCCTGTCGTCCTCTCCTCATCCTGCAGGAATATAGGAATGCCATGCTACTCTTTCTTTCTGTAAGTCCAACCCTGTTAGAGGCCACTTGGAAGTGTGATCGTGTAGTATTTTTAAATCTCTGGTTTTTAACTTGTGTGCTATATTTAGACTCATTTCTACCATGTTGTATTGTTTTTCTATTTTCACTGATTTTTCCTTACTAATTCAATTTTCTTCCTCCACTATTTTAGAAGTTATGTATAACATTTTTCTCTTTCTGTCTGTTGTCTATCTTTTCTTCCTTCTTGCCTTTCTGTGCATTTTTAGCATGTGTCACAAGTCTGGGTGCCCCAGGAACCAGACATGAGATGACATCTGTGTAAAGGATGCTGGGGGAGTCAGTATGAGAAGCAAAAGAAAGAACTGGGCTGACTGCAGTGCAGCTCCCAGTGGAGGCTGAGCAATCACATCCAGCAGCCATGGCCAAGCCCTTAGCTGCTGAGAGAATAGCATGACCTGGCTCAGAAGCCAAGACACAGCAGCATGAAGCCAGAAACTAGAAGCAGTTAGGCTTCCTCACATCTGGAGTCCTTTCTAGAAGGAACAACTAGGAAGTGAGTACATTTCCATGTCTGCTGTAGCCATAGCTGTAGCCATAGCATGCATATTTGCCTTCATCAATGATCTCTAACTTCTCCCTAAATTTTAACATTACATTTCAATTGTTCCTGTCCAATATGTAGTTCTTCCTCTTTGTTATGCTCCCCAAAATTATCGTCACTACTTTACTCAGCTAATGGTTGCTCACAGTTCCATGCACGTTCTCTTTTTTTAACCCAGCATCTCATACAAGCCACAGCCACCTCCCTGGCCCTGCCTGTCATTTCTCGTTGCATCTTGACACTTTCTTCTGTTTTCAGTTTTACTCTTTTATTCTTCCTGAAGGATACCTTCTGATTCTTTCAGTGACAATGCCAGTGTCTCTCTATCTTAGTCTAAAAATGTTTTCATGGCGCCCTTTCTCCCGCCCGCGTCCCGTTTGCTGGCCCCACCATGCTCTCTCTAGACTTTTTGGACAATGTGCGGTGAATGAACAGGAGGCAGTGGCAGCATGGAGCCTGCATTTCACAGAGGAGATCTTCTCTTTCTAACAAATCGAGTTGAAGATCCTATATGAGTAGGGGAAATTGTTGTTTTTAGGATAGAAGGAAGAGAGATTCCTATAGTTCATCGAGTCTTGAAGATTCATGAAAAGCAAAATGGGCATATCAACTTTTGACCAAAGGAGATAATAATGCTGTTGGTGATCGAGGCCTCTATAAACAAGGACAGCATTGGCTAGAGAAAAAAGATGTCGTGGGGAGATCCAGGGGGGCCTCCCTGTGCAGCTTGGACTCATGGTGATCCTCCTGTTTTCAGCCTCCCCAGGCCTGGGATTATAGGCTTACACCACTACACCTCGACTCTGGCCAGCTCAGCCTGCCCTGGTGTTGGGGCTTGTGTGGCATGTGATTTGTTCCTTATATTGGAATTGTGACAATCCTCATGAATGACTACCCTAAATTTAAGTATGCAGTCCTTTTCTTACTGGGTGTGTTCGTGCTGCTCCATCGTGAGTAAGAAGGCTGCCTTGCTGTTCCTGGGAAGATGCTGTGCTTTTTGTTGCTCAGTGTTCAGAGTGAATACTGGGTCTGTGATTGATGGAGTGAAGGATACACATGTTGGCACTTCTTGGTGGCACTGGTTGGCATTAGTTTATGTTTCCACGCCAGAATCTGTGGGTGGGCGCATGTGCACCACGGAGTGCACTGGAGGGGACTTTCAACCACAGGATTTCATATGTTGTCATTGTCAAACTTTCACATTTTTGTACATCAATGACTTTTTTATATTAAAAGGTTGAGCCAAAAAAATAAATAAATAAATAAAATAAAAATGTTTTCATTTTGCTCTCCCACTATAATGATAGTTTAGCCAGGTATGAAAAATTTTAGCCAGCATTCTGAACATCTAATAGGATTTTCAAGCTTCTATTAGTACAGCAGAGAAATCTGGTAATGATCTAATTACCATTGCTTTATAGGTTGCTTTGATTGCTTAGAAACATATTTCCAACACCTGAGGTTCTGCACTTTTACCACAGTGTATCTACTGGTGGACTTAGTATAATTCATTCTGCCTGAGACCCATGTGACCTTTGAATCTATGATGTAGGTCTCTCATCAATTCTAGAAAATATTGACTTTCCCTCACTTTTTTAGTATTCTTTGTGGAACTTCTGTTAGATACATATTAAGTCTTTATAGTCCATCCCCACATCTTTTAACATCTTTGTAGGATGTTCTATCTCTTTAACACTTCTCAGTGAGTTCTGGACAATTTCTTCAGCTCTAGCTTTATGTTTATCTTCTGTTTTGTACAGATGTGCTGTTTCATACATTTTAATATGGTTTTCAGCTGATATGCCTACCACTTTTATCATCTTTTTCCTTGCAGCTTTTATACTTCATTCTTAATCCCTGATGTTCCATTTTCAGACGTTCTTAGTCACGTCCTGTGACACATGCTCATGGTGGATTTCTTCATGAGTTTCTAATTTTGAGCCCACACTCCTGATCCATCTGGGCAAATCTGCAAAGCAACATCAGGGTGTGGCCTTCCAGGGGGATTTGGGGTTTGCTCCTGACAGCATCCTCAGGCTGCCAGTATCTTCAGCCTTGGCCCACTTTAACTTTAATGTCTTAGTCTGAGGATCTCTAGACCACCATGGTGATGTGAGAAGCCACTTCAGCCAAGGTAAGACTGTGACCACAGAGTACAGGTTTTTTTGTTTTTTGTTTTTTCTGGAACCAGGAATTGAACTCAAGCCCTTGCACTTGCCAGGGAAGTGCTTATTCTACTGAGCCATCTCCCCAGACCTCAGGCATCTTTTTTCCTCTCTAGAACCAAGTCAAAGCAGAGCAGAGCCCTTGGCTCCTTCAGCTGGAGGGTGGATCCAGTTTAGCTCATTATTTCACTGCACACGTAGCCCATACGTAATCCTAGCTTTAAAGCAAGAGCTTCAAGTCCATCCTCTTTTGAGAAGCAGCCTTATGACTGTGTGTCCCTGAGGCTCAGACCCTACCTGTGGCTGTTCCCAGCACTGAAGACAAGCCATCCTACCACCACTGCTGCATTGGCCTTGGCTCTTGTATTTACCAGTAAGGCTTTCAGTTCATTCTTCTTCTATTTGGGGTCTGGGGATTTCTTTACTGTTTTTTGTATCTTGTTTAGTTACATGTCCAAAGGGACATTTATTATATCCAGGATTTTTAAGTATTTGTAGCATCAGAGTTCCCAAATCATACTAATCATACTGACAAATTAAAGTCTGGTGCTCTTCAGACATATTGTTTCTGTCCAGTTTGACCCCATGTTAATAAGTGCACTGACTCTTTGGGTAACATACCACCCTCAACTCCTTCTTGCTAAGTACCTGGCCTTGCCATCTTTTGCTCACCCTGTCTAGGCAGGGCCTTTCACCTCAAGCCCTCACAGGCCACAGGAAATCCATGACTTTGCTGCTTTTAAGTCCAGTCAGATGCAGCTGGAAGAAGACAGGCTCTTGTAGTATAAAATGCACCTCATGCTGCCTCCAGTAGGAAATGTTCTACTATGGTTTGAATATAGCCCCAAAGGTCCATGGGTTAAAGGTTCAAGACCCAGAGTGATTCTATCGTGAGGTAGTGAATCCTCTAGGAGATGGAGCCTAGTGGGAGGTCTTTAGGTTATTAGAGGTGTGCAACCCCGACCCTTTCTCCTCCCATTGTGTTTCTCTCTTTTTTTCCCTTTTTTTTTCCATTGTGTTTCTTGACTGATGAGGTAAGTGGTTTTATGTTTTTATACATTCCCACCATGATGTGCTACTTTGCCACAGGCCTAGAACTATGGGTCTAATTGCATAAGAGCTGGAACCTCCAAAACTGAGCCAAAACAACCCTTCTCTTTGTATAAGTTAGCGATCTTGGACATTTAGTTGTAGTGACAGAAAACTGACTAATACAGTTTCCTTAGAAAGGCCAATAGACAGAGAGGGGGCTCCCACGGACTTTCTAACTGCCTTCTTCCCAGCATCATCAAAACAAAATGTCATTATCCCTGAGCAGTATGTTACCCAGGAACTAATAAGCAAATGAACAAACAGCTAGCTGAACAGTCCAAGTTGAGCCAGTATAGGACTCAACTTGAAAAGCAGTCTCTAATGAGCTGTTGGTCAACATTTTTGTCAGCGATTTAGACGTGGAGATCAAAGTGAGGTTATAAACTTGGTGCATGAAGAAAAAAAGGAAAACCTGATGAATGACACAAAGTTGAAAGGAACAGAATACACATTCCAGAAACAAGGTTCAAATGGCTTCTACTGATTAGAATAAACAAGATTAAATTTAATCAGGATTAGGCAAAGCCCTGAAGTTAGATCCAAAATACCAATTGTGAAGTACAAGATTGCTATGCCCTGACTTGGCAGTAATTCGTAGACCAAGGACCTGGGGGTTGTGGTGACCATAATTTTAGTGTGGTCCTGATTAGTCTTGCTCAACTCCTACACAAGTCCTCTGGCCAAGGAGCTCCCCAGGGGGCCCATCTTCGGTGGGCTCCCATCCAAAATTACCTTGTCTCCTCTAACTTTGTCTCTTCTCTCTTTTACACTAACTAGGCCCTGTATTTTGATGAACAATTTGGTTTCCTGGGTCCTTTTTTTATACCTTTGCTACAAAGACATTTTACTTGTGGTTTCTGGTTTTCTGCATTTCTGAAAACCAGTACATTCTGGCAACTAAGTAAGAACAAAAGAATATGTTTCCTTAATGGAAAGAAATAGATTATGAGGGGCAGAATAGGCATCTTCAAATGGAAGAAGGAGCAGACAGGTGCTACTAGTTCTAGCATTAGAACTAGAGAGGAGAAAGTCAGTGAAATCAGATGTCTCTTTAGCGTAAAGCACTACTTCACTTAGCACACACAAGCACTCACTGTATGCAAGGTACCAGGTGCTTTGGGCTGCCCCAAGTAAGGGCTTTCCACATGGCTGCTTTGTTGGGGGGTTCTCAGCTTCCATGGGGAACAACACAGAGGTATTCCTGCAATGGATGAGGGGGCTGGACTGGTTCACTAATGCCACATCCAAGCCAGGCCAAAACTTAATCCTTTGGACAGTAGAAGAGGTGACAAACCACAAGTTGTGATTCCCAAGAGGTCAGGATGATCTATAAAAACACCTGGAAATATTTTTCTACCTGTCTGCTTGGCTCCTGGCCCTTTAAGCTGGCCAAGCCCACTCGCAGGCTGCACCTGCAGAAGATAAAGGCTGGCTGAAAATAGTCACCATTCAAAGCAATTTCCCAGAACTTCCTTCCCCTCCTTTGGCTCAGATTCCATCTCACCCTCCTCCAGGCTCCCGGCTCTAACTTTATGTTGGTTATCTGAACCCTGGATTTCCTGATTCTATAGACTAGTGAGGACTTATAGCAGGCATTGCTGGTCACCTATTCTGGTGGCCTCATGACTAGATGAGCAGAAGAACATAAGGGTTCTTGATACCCGAATGCCCAGGGCAGCAATGGCTTCCCTTGGAGTTATAAGGTTCCTCTTAGAGTTCCCCATAACCAAAGCTTATGCTGGGAAGAGATCAGATCAGACTAGACAGGATAGAGCCCCTGGGTGGGAATGTTCATTCCAAGTATTCATGGAATAAGGAACTAGGCAGAGGTTGGCAAGTGGCCACTGCCAGTGGAACCCATTGTCACTCATGACCACAGTGATAGCCCACAGTGATGGTCACAATGCAGCCTCAATGTCTTAGAACAGTTTTCATCTAAAATGTTAATTTCAACAATGCTGTATATGGTTAGATTTCTAGACTTATGTATAAACATATATAATTCTTTATTCCTATTTTTTAAATATATATTTTAATTTTTTAAATTTTTTGTCATATTCTGTAGGGACTTAAAGTTTAACATATCAATACTTGATGAAAAATACCTGTTCCATGTTATGCCTAAGATGTTTGATATTCAGACAGATAGTGAGGTTAAGCTCAACAGCCTAGGTTACATGGTAATAACAATAAGCTTCTCTTTTGGAGGGTTAACAACCTAAGTTTGCAGACAAAAATTAGAGAAAAAGGAGGGCCACAAGGAAAGCCAACATTTTAGCCCTAGCCTTTCAAGGTTAATTAAGACTCAGGACATATGAGAACATGTACTGTAACATCATGTAACTCAGTTGTTTCCCAAATTTTCTGATCAAGGAGATTATGAAGCCAAAGAGGAAAGTGATCAATGATGTAGAGTGTGCCTAAGGAGAGTCACATGGAGAGAAAACATTCTCTCAGGCTTTCACAGAGAGCACATTGGCCAAGCAATGGCCGTGACTCATCCACATGGCTGACACTAACAAAGGATCTACAATCTGAGGTACAGGGTCTCAGGATAAATCCTGAGGGGATTTGACTGATCTTATCAGATCCAAAAGCTACAATTCTTGTTACATAGGTCTTGCTTTACCTTGGTCTTAACCATCCATCAGAAAAATATAAAAACAAAGTACAAGAAATAAAGCCATAGGGGCTGGGGCGATGGCTCAGTGGAATAAGTGCTTCCTTGGCAAGTGCAAGGGCCTGAGTTCGATCCCCAGTTCCGCAAAAAAAAAAAAAAAACATAAGACAGGCTCTTTTGGGGGGCCAGGGAGATGGCTCAGTAGTGCTTCCCTGGCAAGCACAAGGGCCTGAGTTCAATCCCCAGTTCTGCAAAAATAAATAAATAAATAAATAAAGCCGTGTTGCTATGTTGAGTTGTAGGGGACTCAAGTCAACAACTTCTGACATTACCAGTCAAGTGGAAGACCCAGTACTATTATTGAC